GAAGAACCAAATGAATTTTTTTCAATTCAAAGGATATAGTATGATTACGACATTCGATAAAACAATTTTAATCTTAAACCTTGAGAATAGATTGGATCTTAAACAAAAAGTAAAACCCAAGACCTGACCATATTTGGCAGAATTTTTTCCAGAAATATTCAGCCCCTACAAAATGTACACTTACCAATCCAAAAAGAGCAAAAATTTGGTTCTGGCATTGTTTCCACTGGCCTAGTTATCTGTGAGAGTAACACAAAATTCACCAAAATTAGGCAAATGCATCTTCCACATTGCAAAATTTTAACCAGATGTAGAATAATTGCAATATTACATTATATTGTAATAAGGATTAGGGAATCATATAAATGTAACAATGTAAAAATATAATAATTATATAATAGCTTTTTTTTTTACAAGGTGAAACAACACTCTGAAATCTTGTGAAGAAATAATAGCAGCCTGTGGTGATGACTGTAGCAAAGCCTGCTTCTCTGCCTCCTTCCCTCTATCCTCCTCCTCATGTCCTGGGAGGAAGTCAGTCTGTCCACAAAGGAGAGGGAAGCATGTCTCTCTTTTTACGCATAAAGCAAGAGAGACTCTGAACCCTCCTTTCACCCCTGCCCTCTGGGCTGGTGGGGCATCAAGTGTGCATTTCTCGGTCAGAAGCTGAGAGCGGGGCCCCGGGCAGGGCCCGTAGCTCAGGCGCTGGTGAGCGCTGCCAGATGGCGACCCTTAGCTACAGCCCTCCTCGGAGCTGTAGCTCACTGCTGGTTGTCTCCCAGTACCCATGTGCTCCTTCTTCCGTAGTAATAGATTTGTTACGTACTCTGACACCTTTTCAAACATTCCCCAGCCTCCCTTCCAGCCAGGGGCGGCCACATCTGAGTTCTGGACGTGAGCGGAAGGGATGTGTCCAACTTCCAGGTCTGGCCTTCTTGGCCCCTCCTTCCCTTCAGCTGAGAGAGCAGAGCTGAGAGTAAGTGACAGCGGGTCAGACTGTCGCTTTCTCCTCTGTTAAGAGACCAGTGTGTGTTCTAAGCTGTTGACAAGTTTTAATTTAAGTTGGCTATGTTTTAAAGAGAAGAGAAAAAATCTGTTAGAAAGTATTTCGAAATATTAACACCCCTTTCTGTGATTGCGAGTAATACAAGGTGTGAAATGTCAGAAATTTTAAAAAGATTAAAACAAATCTCTCCTCATCTGCTCTGGGGTAAAATGTACGACATCAATTGTTTCCAGAAAACAAACGGTACCTGGTGGTTTGGTCCTGGCAAAATATGAAAAATATAATTTGATTAAACTTATTTTAATGAGTATTTACCTGCAATTTGTCTCAAATCCAGTGTAATCTAGATTCCTTATCTTGCCCCTTCTGTCTGCGAACAGTGCCGAGCACAGGCCTGGCAGGCTGGGAGACAAGGACGTAGGAGGGAGCAGCAGAGCCAGGAAACCCAGTCCTGTGTGTCTAGGATCGGTTAGTTACTGACTCAAGGATAACAAAATATAGACAGTGGCTCAGCCCGGCAGAGAGACAGAGGTAGGCAGAGAGGGAGAATCTCCTAGTGTGGCTCGGTGCACCTCGCCTCAGAGCAAGGCCCCTCTGCTGCCACTGCTCCGTTGTGACCAGGGCTCCCTGGGTCTAGGGGGCCATCTGGCAGCGGCTCCCTGATCTGCTGGAGTATTTGCCAGCCTCGCTGTTCCCCACCGTGTGGCATGGAGAGAAGGGACCTGTTAATCCAGTGGGATCGATTGTGCACGTCTCCCAGGCCCCCCGGGAACTTGGGGGTTGTCACACCTTTCCCTGGTCCCTGTGCCTACGTGGACATCATCATTGGAGACAAGGGGGTACTGGAAAACATAGGCAGGCAGCCAGCCAGATATGCATCGCCTGTGTCAGCAGTGCAATCCCTTCCTCCCAGAATCTGGAAAAAGAAAATCAGGTGGAAAAATGTCAGCTCAAGATGTGAGATACGTTTGGGCCCTTGCCTCAGAACCCCAGGGATAAAGTGAGGAAGGTGAATGCCTTGATTTGGTTTACGAGGTTGAAAATAGTATGATATTTTTTATAGTCTGATTTCTATTTAAACCATTAGTTGGTGAAACCTCTCGGTCTAAACGTTCACACACCGTCACAGCCTTGCGGTCTTGGTCTAAAGGAGATCACCACGAGAGGCCAAGTGTCGGACTACACGTTTCTCAGAAGACAGATCTGGGGTACAGCAGCATCTGAACACTTACATGGCAAGTGTGTAAGGGCCTTGGAAGCCTCGGAGGGGGAGTCCCGGACACGCCTGGCAGGCCTGGAACCCGATCTCTCCTCCTTCCTCGCTGCTTCACATCACGTTGACACGGCGCACGGGGGAAGCCCGGAGAGGAAGAGGACAAAACTGACTGCATCGTGAGCTCATTCAGGTGACCGTCAGCCGGGGCAGGCAGAGTCACATGTGGATTCACAGATTTCGAAGAGCCGGCCTGGGGCTTTTTCAAAGGACAGGAGTATGCCAATGTGCTGTACAACGTAGCATTTGGTTAGAAGCATTTAATCACATCACCCAAAATTTTTATGCTCAGAAGTTACACACAAATGGTACTTGACTTTTCTTCAAAACCATTCAGCTTGAAAGATTTCCAGGCATGTCACACGTCACGTTTAGCTGCTTCTGCTGTGAAGGGCTTTTAGCCAACTGGCTCGCACTCATTGCAGAGAAGCAGAGGAGGAGAAATTTTTAGCAAATAGATAAGCTCCTGAAATAAATGGTGTTGTGCTGGTTCTGAATAAACTACCCGTTTCCTCATGTAGATTATCTGAGCAGGATGACCGTTAAGCCAAATGCATCATAAAGATAAATCAATTCTACTGTTAAGCAAATCACCATTTCTACGTGTCAGAGTCCAGTTCATTATTTAACACCCAGCCCGTCTCTGTGAAGCTCCGTCCTGCTCTCCTCCCCTCCACAAGTGCTGCTTTGTCTCCGCCTGTCCTGAGACGTGCCCGGGAGGGCGCACGTGAGGCCTCCTGTGTGCCTGCCTCCTCACTGTGGCTGGGCTGTCAGCAGCCGCCCAGTGGGGAGGGCGCTCTGTCCACATGGTCTTCAGAGCGCCTTGCTTCAAGGAGGTTCCAAATGTTGTTCACTCCAGTTGACTCCTGAACAGCCTGATCGCCATCTGACATCACCTTTGTGAGGTCCCAGCCAAAAGGAGCCCCACACGCATCTTTTTATGCTGAATGTTCTGTAAGTTTCAGACAACCTTCAGATCGTGCATGTAGCCTAGTCATTTTTCCTTTGCTTATTAGAAATAACTACAGGATCTTAAAGAAACATTAAAACTCAGACATATAATAAATGTCTCTTTCCCTCCTGCTTCCTCACAGGAACATTGGTAGAGTTAACACTACGAAGACATTCGTAACCTCAGGCTTCAGAGTTGTGCATTTCTTTTAGATTCCTGAACCTTTCACACTTTCACTTCTACCTGCAGTCCTTTCTGGAACAAAGTAGAGTATGAAGAAATGAAGGAATTATTTAAAACAAAGAAACAAAGTTGTGTTTGAGTTTTTTATGTCATTCAAGAAATAGACATTTAATTACTTAATGTGTGACAGTGTGAGTGCTAAGGATACAAATGAATAATAGTGTGTGAATATTACTACATGGATGTTACAGCCTTTCTTGACCTTTCTGACATCTTTGTTGATCATATATCTGTATAATAATATCTTTTGTCCTACAAGTATTTGCATTAGAAAGTAAGTACAGGGAAACAAATCAAGAAAGAATATTTTCATAAATTATTTTTAATGTTTTAAAATATTTTGATATCACACAGCTTGTGTTTACATGACAATAAACAAGCCTTTTATCAGGAAAGAAACTAGCCAGAACATATGTTTGTATATCACAATATTTTTACAAAAAAAAAAATGGTTCTGCCCTTTTTCATCTTAATTTTTCTTCATATTGAAGGGACTTTTCCAAATAAAGGGTTTCCGAGAGGTCACCTCCAGGTCGGTTCACCTCTGCAGGCTGTGGTCAGTCGTCAGGGGACGGCCCCTCCTGCCTTTCTTACCTTTAGCCTCCACCCCCACTCTGCACTGCACACAGCAGATGTGTTCCTTTGAGTTTGGATTTTTAGGAAACAAATCACGTGGGCTTGGGAGCACTGACAGTTAAAGGAATTTAATAGAGATCCTTTTGAAAACCGGAAAAAGTTCTTTTGAAATATGAATAGCTCTTGCTAATTACAGTAACTGTCCTGTGACGATGGTCAGAACTGAATCTGCTTAAGTCAGCCTGTATCTGCAGAAAGACAGGATGGGAGATGTTCCAAGCTACACTATTCTTTTGAAAACATGACCCAATGTCGTGCATAGTAACAAACTTACCAAGACCTGTAACAGAGGTTATAACTGACTCACCTGAGCATAGGAACAATATTGACCATTTGACTGGTATCATTTTTTTCATTATGTCAATATTTCTATGAAAATTGTAGGTTCCTACAAAAAGTATTGCCTTGAAATAGAATCATCGGGTCAACTTAATAGACAAAGGGAAATAAGCATTTGTGGGAATCCATAATTGCTGAAAAGCTATATTTGATTTTAGCATTTGGAGTCCCGGCAAAAACAAAACAAAGCCAAAAAACAACCCTGCCATTATCATGTGATGTTTTTTGATTATGTTTTTATTTGTGCATGTACGTGTTTTCATTTCTACCTAAATCAGAAAAAATCTTAATACGTTTAGGTTTGAACTCTGGAAATGTTCCACTCAGACTCCTGGCCCAGTTTGTGGAATGGCTGTATTTGTGACATCTAGCGGGAACAGGATGTGGTTACCGCGGGCTTCAGCCTGAAGAACTGTTTTAGCAGGAATTTTACATGCAAGACTAAATGCTGATCAACAGAGCATAATATTGTATTCTGAAGTGTGCTTGCGAGAGCAAAATTAATTATTTTTTTCTTCTTTCTTTCCTTCTTCTGAAATCTTCTGCCATAGCGACTGCATTTGCCTCCAGACTTGTCAGACACAGTGAGCCGCTCAAGCAAACAGGGTCTGGCAGAATCCGCCGAGCTGCGGGGCCCGGGCTGTGGCGTGATGGCCGGAGGCAAGACGCACCTGGACTTCTAATGGTTCTTCCTTAGTCTTGCTTGCAGAATTATATGACAGTCTAATTGTGATTGCTAATAGCTTATGTAAATATTTTTCTTAACGATTTGACCCTTCAACCTTGAAAAGAACAGTTAGGATTGCAAAATGAGGCCACCATTCTTCATTTTTTTAACCAACTTTTTATACATAGTCAGCAGAAACACTTTCATTTTAAAATTTGTTTTATGCCATATCCAGAGAAAATAGCTGATTTTATTTTTAAATAAAAGCAAATCAAATATCAAAATTCAAAATGCCTTACAGTGGTCATTAGTGGACGTGTATTAAGGCACTTAATTTATGATAAAGTGCATGTTACAGTGGGTGGCATATGAAACATTCTGAAATTCAAATTTGTATATGAAAAACATTTTCTCTTTATTTCTGAAAAAGTCACTTGCCACCAAAAATGCTAAGGTTTTTTAAAAAGTGAAAAATTCGTTTGCTAATATATGAAGACTATAATAAAATGAATTTGCATTTATGCAACCTGTTATTAAATTGATGAAGACAAAATAATATTTTGGGATTAAGACGCCATTAAAGATAATTAATCTCATAACTAATAGTTAATAAATATAAAGAAGTTGAGTGATGGAAAGCATAGAAAAAGAAGTTGAGAGGCCGGCCCCGTGGCTTAGCGGTTAAGTGCTCGCGCTCCGCTACTGTCGGCCCGGGTTCGGATCCCGGCGCACACTGACGCGCCGCTTCTCCGGCCATGCTGAGGCCGCGTCCCACATACAGCAACTAGAAGGACGTGCAACTATGACACACAACTATCTACTGGGGCTTTGGGGGAAAAAAAAGGAGGAGGATTGGCAATAGATGTTAGCTC